CTAAACTAACCTATAGAAACAAAAATTAAATATTAAATTTTCCTCGGTACATTGAAAAATTTCTTCCGTACAGTAGCACCAATCCATTTTATTTTTAAAATGTGTGGGTCGTGAAGCGATGGGCTGGTCATGTGGCACGGATGACAGACAACAGATGAACGAAGCGGATAATGGAATGGTAACCACGCACGTTCAACCGAACAATGGGGAAGCCACTAGCGAGGTGGAATGGCCCAGTGGCACACCTGTACGGTATTACATGGTACCGTAAAGGCGTACCAACTAAAACTTTTCGTGGAGTAACAAAAATTATCACCCGCTGCATTTGTTGATTGAAATTGTTCCACCACTGGGTCGTCTGTTGATGGTACTTGAGCAGTTCCTGCTTATCTTCTTCGGTTAGATCACCTTTCTCCATACCATTCACGTAATATTTGCCATTCTATGTATTATGTATGTTTAGGACACAGTTACCAAAATTTTTGCTAAATGCAGAGATTTTTGAGGAATTTTGAAATTGTTGCCTAGCATTTTCCATATAATTGCTGTTTGTCAGAGTCAACCAGCATCTTCGCATTTATATTTTATTCGCTTGCCAAGCAGGATATATATAAGTATAAATATACATATATATATTTATATCTATATACAGATGTCATGCACATGTTAACATAAGAAGTGAAACACAGATACAAAAGAATCTAAGTTTAAGATCAACGCGAGGAAAAATCAGAATCTTAACGTACAGTGCCTGCAAAGGAGAAGTCACAAAACAGGGCTGTTAATGGTGCTAACGGATTTTCTAACGGATTGAGTACGCACAAGTTTCGAGGGTAAATCATTCTACACTTTAACTATTCGAACGTTAAAGAAGCCTTTTGCCACGTTTTTTTTTTCTTTTCTCGCTGAGAGCGAAGTTTCGAGTCGTTTGCTTTCGAGTATTAAACACTGACGAGTTTAACTGGGTGTGAGAATTTCCACGCTTTCTCTATTGCCACAATCATCTAAGATTGACTATATAAGTCAGATTCAAAATTCCTGGATCAGCTAGCCTTGGAAGATTGTGACAATGCAGAAAGAGTGAAAAACTCCCGTTCCCACTTACAACTCGGATACAAACCATGTACCTGGCGCTACTATCTAGGTTTTTTGGTCCTAAGCTACAGTCTCTTTCAATTATTTAGCTACAGCCTCTTCTATCTTTTTCATTTATCGTAAAAAAAAATTATTAACTGAAAATTATTAAAAAATTATCTACAGAAAATCATTAAACATCACCAAGAATTGCCAATGTGGGTATCCCGTTTTAGTGGTATTACTGGGTGCTTTCACACTTCAAGTACAGCTAGGCGAGGCCCTTCGATCCTGGGCTGCATACTTCCAGTTAGTACCCACTGCTTGTTCAATAAATTTGCGCCACCTCTTTATTATGGTCAGTTGTAAGAAACAAAAAAACAAATATCGAAACACCACTTATTTTTTTCAAAAAATTTTAAAACTTTTTTAAAAAAGTTCTCCACCTATTCTGATGCTTTTATTTACTCAAAATTATGGTGGGTTTGCAATAACACAGTTTGTTAGAGTAGACTATTCGATCATTTAATAGTCGTATCAGTGTTCCAATCATTTCTGAGTCAGCGGTCCGTGACTCATTTACTATGAGGGATGAAGGGATTAGGAGAGGGATTGCAGCATTTATGTAGCACTTTATCGACGACAGCAGAAACTGGTTAGTAAGGCCAACGTTTCCTTCCTGTGGATTTTCCTGGATGCAAATTGAGAATGCTTTGAATCACTTCTAAGTACCAATTTACCATCAAAACAAAACTTGAGAGAATTACCCATTGTACTGATGGAAATAAACTAACGGCGTGAATCAGAGAGAGGCGACTTATCGATAAGCCAGGTTCGTTAATGACACTAAAAATATTTATTAAAATGATAATTTTACGGCATGTTATTACTAAAAC